CAGAGACACAGAAGCATGGAAAAGAGACTGTGGAATCTCAGAGGGAAGGTGGGGGTAGGGAGGGTTGGGGGGTCAATGCATAACCCATGGACACAGACAATAGGGTGGTGAAGGCCTGGGAGGGGTGGGTGCGGGGTGGAGGGGGTCAATGGTTAAAAAAAACAAAACAAACACACAACCAAACAAAGGGGACATCTGTAATACTTTCAACAATAAAGAAAAAAAAAGCACCCCAAAGTTGATCTCTTATTAATAGTTTCTCATTTGAAGTTTACTGCAAATCATTTCTATCATTTATCATCTTTGTTTCCCTACATCATCTTTTACTGAAAAGTTTGACATGAGTTCTGACACGAGTTCTTCATTTTAACCTCAGCATACTACTGTGCCAATATGTCATTTAACCATCTTTCTCTTGAGCCTGAATACATATATGGCCATATAGCAACAGTACACATGTATACTTGTTAATGTGTTTCCTACTACTTAGTCATAAATCGTATCTCCATATCTAGATTGTAAGCTACTAAAAAAGGGACTATGTTACCCGGCTGGTGTGGTTCAGTGGTTGAGCGTAGACCCATGAACCAAAAGGTCACTGGTTCCATTCAGGACACATGCCCAGGGATCCCCAATAGGGGGCGTGCAGGAGGCAGCCAATCGAGGATGTTTCTCTCTCATTGATATTTCTCTCTATCTCCCTCCTTCCTCTTTCTCCAAAAATCAATAAAAACATTTATTTTTTCACTTAAAAAGATATTATGTTGTGTGTGAGCATTATTAACATCAGTTGATGTCAAACTTAGATGGGTCAAACCAAATTAAGCCTACCTGGGAATGTTCACCACCGCCCCCTTATATTTAATTTGCTGAAAAGAAAATTAATGTATTTTCTTATCGGAGATGCCTCCGCGTCTGTCAGTGTGACCCAGTGTGCTGATAAATGAAGCCGAGGCAGCCTGGACATAGCTTAGAAATAACCCCGTCTCTCTCATTTAACTCACTGAACTCTGGTTCCCGATTTCAGACTGGCGTCAGCGTCTGAAGCTTCCACACCCACGCCCTCGCTCCCGTCTGCCTGGGGTGTCCCGAAAGGGTTGTCACTTGCTAAGTCCATATACCTTTCACTATGGCAGCCCCTGGGAACCTAAAAATGCCGCAAAGCAAACCTGTGGGGTGAACTCAAGAAAGGCTTGTCTTTGATTTCCAACAGCGCTCAGAAGCCAGACAAGAAGCAGTGAACCTGGGAAGCTTCCTTAGACGTCGTAAATGCAGAATCACTTCAATTCAGGTCCAAGCAAGTAGTTCATTTTTCTTTATCATTATTATTATTATTATTATTATTATTGATTTCAGAGACAGAAAGGAAGAGATATTGATTTCAGAGACAGGAAGGAAGAGAGAGATAGAAACATCAATGATGAGGGAAAAATCATCAATCGGCTGCCTCCTGCAGGCCCCACACTGGGGTTTGAGCCTGCAGCCAGGCATGCGCCCTGACTGGGAATTGAACCGTGACCTCCTGATTCATAGGTTGACACTCAACCCCTGAGCCATGCCGGCTGGGCTCCAGTGGTCTCTTAAAGGTGACTGTATCCTTTTCAACCCACCAAGCAGCCATGCAGACTGGATCTAAAATTAGCTGCTGTGATGTATTTGTTTTTCCTTTTGCATCCAAACACAGGCAACAGGACAACAGGGCCTTTTGTGTCCTATGACTGCTGTATCATAGGGAATTCTTACTTCCTGTTTGTACTCAGCGGATGAGCCAACCTATTGGGAAGAGTGTGAGGGACCTTTTCCCAAACACCACCTCTTACTCATGTTTCCCCGAATTATGCAAATGATGCCATTCATTCTCCCACCTCCTCCTCTCTGGAGAGGCTCCCAGGTTGGAAATGAAAGGAATTCTTCTCTCAAATGTGCGTAATCCACACTCATTGCTTTTGACAGCAAAGGGCGGGACGGCGAGATACCACAGGAGCCAAGGGTTTAATCGCATCGCCTCTGCCACCAGCTTAGCGGCGCGGCCCTCGGTGGGTCCTCGCTGTAGAATCGAAATGCAGGCAACTCATACTTGCCCACTGCACTTGAACAGAAGGGAATCTACGGCAGGTGAAGGAGAAAGGAGGATCAAAAGTGAGGACTCGAGGGGGAAAAAAGACCTGCTAATGTCTCTAGGGACAGAAACACTGATCTCGCCAGGGAGGAGCTGCCTATAGAAGAAAGGCCAAGTTCTCGTGAAGAACAATGAGGCTTTCAATGAACTCGCCTGCCTTTCCTCCCCACCTGTTCACATTCCCCACAGCGGCCTCACTCCCCGCTTCCTCCAAGCCCTGGTTCCTCACCCCCCACTCTACTTCTGCATCTAAGCTCCTCTCTAGTCATCTTTTTTAAAAATGTATTTTTATTGATTTTTAGAGAAAGAGGGAGGGAGAGAGAGAGAAAGAGAAACATTCATGAGCAGAAAGAATCATCGATCAGCTGCCTCCTGCACGTCCCCAACTGGGGATCGAGCCCATAACCCGGGCATGTGCCCTGACCGGGAATCAAACTAGTCACCTCTTGGTGCATGGCTCAACACTCAACCACTGAGCCACACCAGCCTGGCAAGGAAGTTAATTATTTTTAAAATGCTATGGGATTGTGTGGCTCCTTTGTTTCTTTTAATTGCACACTTATAGTTTCTGAACATGAACAGAAAAAAAAGATAAGTGTCCTTGTCATGAATGAATCATGAAAGAATTGAGCTCCGTTGCCATGGTGAGTCCCATCCACCCAATATGATGGACGTTTTGGCTTCGTTCCACTCTATGGGGCGAGGGCTGAGTCAAGGGTTATCTTTCCCTGGTCACGAAAGTGACCAAGGCTTCAAAAACTATTTAATCCATGGGCCGCCTCACGCTGGCCTAGAATTAAATTCTCACCCTGTGAGCAGACACTTCCCAAAGGGCTCCTGTGCCCTCCGCAAATGATTATTCCTGCGGCGCGGGAACTTCTTAAATCATTTCCCGAACTTAGGTCATTCTTACACGGCTTCCCGATACCCCCTGTCATACAAATTACTTAAAATGCTTCTTTCCATCCTAAGCAATACCACCCACGAAGGAGGGTTTGATGTGCGTGTTATAATTTCATAGGGAACGAGATGAGTACTTTTCTCTAACAATGAAGAGTGCTACTTGAAATTCTCTCGCGCGACACCAGGGTCATTCACACCAGAGCCCCGGGAACATTGCTTGAATATATTACTGAGAGCCAACCCGGTTAGGAAGTGTTTTGGTGGAGATCTGGAACCGCAAACCCAGCTCAAAATGGCTCTATGCTGGTTCTGACAAGATGCTGAGTCGTTTTTCGGGGACAACGGAACAAAACCACAAGGCGTGCAGCTGGAACACATGCAGAGGAGAGAACTTTGACCAAAGCTCCCTGTCCCCAATGGAGCCAGAGGACTGTGACAGGACAGGAACCTGAATGCCAGAACCTTTCAGAAGCCAAGGGGCTGCTGTCCACGGGGATGGGTGCTGAATCCTCACCCTTTACCACCTCTTACCATAAACTGCCAAACTACCAAGTCCCAAAGCCACGCTATGGAAACCTCCCCGTCAAACCAGCATGGTCTCCTTAACCCATACATCTTGCCCGGATCCCCAGGCCGAGGAGACAGAGGTGAGCTCGGGCTCATGTTTCCTGGCCAGCAGACCTTGCAATAAAGCCTTTGCTTTGCTCAAATGCTGGGCAGCAAGCCCTTGTTCGGTAACAAAACCTGCATCTCGAAACCAGCCCTGAACTGTAGGAGGGCGCTGAGCCTCTGTTGCCAGCCTCTTGCTGAGGGCTCCCGTTTTATTTGTGTTGGAGTGTGTGGTTTTTTTACATACTCACAATGTTTCTCTAGGCTGAAATTAATCTTATCTTCCCACGTACATTGGCGCCGGAGGCTCTATTTGCTTGCTTGATGGGTATGAGGATTGGCTACTTCAGGACACTTGCAGGGAACAAAGAAAAACCAGCTTCTCTTTAATCGACGCCTACCTCTCAGAAGAAGAGAATGCCTCACCCCCTCAGCAACAACAAAACACATACAGTCATGTACCCCTATCTCCTTGTTGCAGCCTGGAGCCCCATCCCTCCTCTTTTATTGATTTTTTAAAAATATATATTTTATTGATGTCAGAGAGGTAGGGAGAGGGAGAGAGAGAAACATCAATGATGAGAGAGAATCACTGACCGGCTGCCTCCTGCACATCCCACACTGGGCTCACAACCCGGGCATGTGCCCTGACCGGGAATGGAACCGTGACCTCCTGGTTCATAGGTTCACGCTCAACCATTGAGCCACACCAGCCAGGCCCATCCCCCTTCTTTAAAAAGTAAAAAATGTGGAACCACAGGTCCTCCCAACAGGTATACTACGTGTTTTCACTTTGCATACAACATATCTCACAAGCCGACTTGTCCTTAGCACTTTCATAATCTGTTTCCCTTGCAAACTGTTTAACGCTGGGGCAGGCAGGGAACAGAACAGCCTATGATTCATGGGTCAACTGCATGAAATGCGGAAGTTCTAGAGCGGAAGCTTTGGGGAACAGGGCACGGGTTCCTTCGCCATCGCCAACACCCTTTACTGAGTGACGGTCACGGGTCTGACACTCAGCCGGCCACGGTGGGTGACACAGAAAACAGATGTCATCGCTCATCTCCAACGGCTGGCGCCGGTGTTGAGAAAACACCTTTGTTTTATAAAAAGCGATTCAAACAAGTAGATAATAAGAATCACAACATGAACTTCAGCACAAAGAAGGAAAAGCGGTCACTTCAGGAGATGCAGAGACAAGATAGGCTGACATAAAATGCTCTCATGTATTATTTAAAAATGCATACCTACCTGTCTTGGCAAATTAGTCTTGGAATGAAAGACTTTTTTAAATGTACAAAAATTATCTCAATCAGTAAGAGCAAATGGGAACTGCATATGAAATGATGGAAAATGTATAACTTACCCCCAACACAGTTTTCAATGGTGTATTGGAGCTCCTAGAAAATAAAAAAGACCAAAAAAAAGGTGAAGATTGAGAGGGGTCAATAGAAAACATTGTTAATATTTGCAGACAATAAAATTTTATACATTAAAAAACCCAAAAAAAATCATAGAAAAAGATATGAGCATTAGCTCTAAAAATTACAAAATATAATACCGATTTCTGATACAGAATCATCAATAGTGTTGAACATGTCCAAAAATCAATTAGATATTGGAAAAGAAAAAATGGCCCACTTTCAATAGAATAAAATTACATGGTACCTCAACTCAAGCCCAATAAAGATTTGCAAGACATTTCCAGTTAAACTTTATTGAGTACATATTTGTCTCTGCTTCTTTTAAAAAATTTCAATAAAATTCCAGGAAAGAATTTTGAAAGTATTAAATCCACAAGAAAATGGTAGAGGAGATAACTTTTTAAAAGGTATGTTTCTATGACCAAAGAACGTTCAATGATGAATAGTATTCTACATCCCTTTTGCTAAAAAAAATTTGCCAAAGATTTCTTAGCATTGACATAAAATATTGCTATGCTGTGATATGGAAGTTACTTAAATATGTGCAAACCTAAATTATGTACAAATACCTGATGCTTACGGCACTTACAAAACTGAAACACCTAGTCAAACTTAGCAACAAATCCAAACAAAACTACAAAAACTGCCCGGCCAGCAGTGGCTGAGTGTCGACCTATGTACCAGGAGGTCAGGTTCGACTCCCAGTCAGGGCACATGCCTGGGTTACGAGCTCGATCCCCAGTATGGTGCGTGCAGGAGGCAGCCGATCCATGATTCTCTCACATCATTGATGTTTCTCTCTCTCCCTCTCCCTTCCTTTCTGAGATCAATAAAAATATATTTTTTAAAAACGAAAAACAATGACATTTCCATCAATAACACTAACTCAGCGAGAGGGATGGTGTTACTTCACTGAAATGAAACTTCCATTTTCAGTGTTAATATAGTGCTGTCATATGCTTGGGCCATGCAACCACTCAGCCCCCTCATTTCTTCTCTAGGCCAGCCATCCTACAGCACCGCCTATACTAGTTGGCTTTCCCTTGTCTTGCACCTGTTATTTATGAATTTAATTAATCTCGGCTCTAGAATTCTGTAGAGGACTCCTGGTGCCCATGGGACCACAACCCGACATGCAAACTTGCTTGGACGGTGAAATGATGAGTTCGTTATTTGCTGGTCACCCAGGCATCCAGCATATGTTTTAATTAAAATTTAAAATAATAAGCAAGGATGCCTGTAGTCTTTGACAAAGAAGGTAAAATAGGACCACCAAGTAGATGCTAGTTATGCAAGATCATTTCTTTAAAAAATATATATTTATTGATTTCAGAGAGTTAAGGAGAGGGAGAGAGAATCATGGATAGGCTGCCTCCTGCACGCCCCCTACTGGGGATTGAGCCTGCAATTGGAGTACATACCCTTGACCAGAATCAATCCTACAGCCCTTCGTCTGCAGGCTGACCCTCTATCCATTGAGCCAAACCTGCTAGGGCTTAAGTTGGACTTTTTAATGATGGCAAGGGATAGATACCTATAGGACCAGTCCCTATTAAGAGCTGGGAAGGACAGATCTAACATGAGGACAGTGAGTAGAACCACCACCACCACATTCAGACTTTAATGCATCGGCAACGCCACAAAAGATACAGAAAAACTATTAAATTATATTCCACTGAGAGGTGGGGATCGAAGAATGTAGGCGTCAGCAGAGCTGGTCTGAATCTTGTCTCTGTGCTTAGTAGGTGGGTACCGCTGGACAAACGATATTCATTGTTCTGCATATTAATTTTTCATCTATAAAACCGGGATTACTACTACCAAGCTCACCAAGCCATGCCTGAGGTTTATATGGACAGGGAATCTGACAAGTATGTCTATTCATTCTTTCCGTATTCTTGTTTCCCCCTTCTCCTCCCCCCGCCCTTAATCATATGCATACGGTATTTTTGAATATGTAAGATGCTGTAAGCAGCTGACATATAATTTTGTGTGTTGCTAATTCACTTCATGCTTTAGTGCTTCTCCTATATTGGAGCTGTCACCTCTTACCTGTTTCATTCGTTTAAAGAAGCCAACATGTGCGAGACAGTTCATGTAGCTGGTTTCTCCCCGGCGGGAAATTTTGATTGTTTCTAAGCTCCTCCCGCCCAATATAAACGGCGATGTTGCTGACATGAAAGAGAAATCACTCTAACACGTTCCCGAAGGTACAAAAAGGCTTCGGCGGCCATTATTACCTTAGGAAGCCATTTTTCATGTGTGTTTATTTATTCTGTCAATTCACCCTTTCATTGGCACCTCTTGAAAGTGCCGATGTTTCTAGAATACCTGGGCTTCTAATGGGAGGAAAAAAGCTTCCTCTTGGCTTAACTCCTGCTCTGGAGACTGGCGACGGACTCAGTGCAGCCTGGGTTAAGGGGTGACCCCCCTACAGGTCCCCACTGGGACTTCCCAGGACCCCCTCAATGCAGACTCAGGATTAAAAAGCCTATGTAATGTCAGTCCCGAGTATAACGAAACACACTGATTTAGTTCCATTAGCCTCCACACCCCCGCTTTTTAAAAAATATATTTTTATTGATTCAGAGAGGAAGGGAGAGGGAGAAATAGAATCCATGATGAGAGAGAATCATGGATTGGCCGCCTCCTGCACGCCCCCTACTGGGCACGGAGGGCATGTGCCTTGACCAGGAATGGAACCATGACCTCCTGGTTCATAGGGCCACATTGAACCATTGGACCACACAGGCCAGGCGACCCTCATTGATTTTTAATGAGTATAACTGTCTGGGGGGGGGGTGACTAGAGCCACTTTTTTTCTTCTCCTGAGTATGTAAATGAGCTTGGTTGCTACCTTCTGGATCAGACAAAGAGTTAAACTGAGTTTATGCCAGTTAGTAGCAAATTTAAAGGCTACAGCATTGGGGAGGAGTGGGGAGAGAGAGAGAGAGAGAGAGAGAGAGAGAGAGAGAGAGAGAGAGAGACACTTCTGGCACATGCGATAACTAATCACGCAAACAATTTATTTGCCTCAAAGCTCATTGTGAAAGGGCGATAATTGTTTTCAATAGAGACGCAGATGAATTATAATTGGGCGTCACTGAAAGTCACCGTAATATTGAATAAAACATTAGCTATGTTAACCGGTGTTATTTTGCCATTATCTTGAGGTGGAGGAACGATACAGCTGGTGAGCCGCACCCACACCCTTGTCTTCCTCAGTCAATCCTGCTGGGGCTTACATCACCAAACCAGTATTATTACATGAAATGTTGGGGGGGAGGGGGAGGAAGAGAAAAAGCTGAAAGGGGGAGGGAGAGGAGAAAAAGATACAAAATATGAACAATAAAAAGGAAATAAATACATATCAACAATTGAATCTAAAAATCAAAATAAACGAATAAGAAATCTAATGAAAGAATAAACTCGTGCATATCATAGACTCAGAGACATGGAAATGGAACAGACTGACGATTCTCAGAGGGAAAGGGGTGGGGGTGGGGGTGTGGGAAGAGATTAAACAAAGATCTTATGTGCATGATCTACGGACACAGACAATAAGATGGCGAAGGCTTGGGGTGTGAACTGGGTGAAGGGCGGCGATGGGGGGAAATAAGAGGGACATCTGTAACACTCTCAACAATAAAGATTAAGAAAAGAAGAAGTCATGGCTAAGTAGATGCCAGGTCAGACTGGTCGCCTCTGTGTGGCACCTCCTTGGCACATCACCAGGGAGGAGGGGACACAGGGTCAGTTTCCAAAAGAGCGGCTTTGTAAATGCCAGGGAGGCACCCCGACCGGGCTGGCTGGCTGTCTTGCTCTGAGCAGGAGTCCCACAGCCTGTGATGCCCTGAGCACGCCTCTCTGAGCTCAGCCTGGACAGGGCTATCGACCCCTATTGTCCAGCTGCCACCCTCACCGTGTCTGCTGTCACACTGCTTGTTCAATAGATTCCGGCTCTGCGGCACATTCTGCCTGTGTGTGTGTGTGTGTGTGTGTGTGTGTGTGTGTGTGTGTGTGTGTATATTAATATATTTGTATTGATTTCAGAGAGGAAGAGACAGGAAGAGAGAGATAGAAACATCAATGATGAGAGAGAATCATTGATCAGCTGCCTCCTGCACACTCCCTACTGGGGATCGAGCCCACAACCGGGCATGTGTCCTGACCAGGAATCAAACTGTGACGTCCTGGTTCATAGGTCAGCGCTCAACCACTGAGCCATGCTGGCCGGGCCCGTCCTTGTATTCTTGTGCTCTAAGAGACCAAAATGACAGTCAAGGGGATGAGGGGGGGAGGCTGAGGTGGCCCAGACTGGAAAGTGTGGCTGGGCCTGGCAGACAGGGACGACGGTCACAGGTGGCAGGACGATGGCCGTGGTGAGGCCCACAGACTGGGCGGCTTCAGGACCGGCAACTCGGCCTGTAGTCCCATCTCCGGGTCCTTAGGCCCGACCCCAGAGGCGAGGAATAGCAGCTGGTTGGATGGACCAACTTTCATTTCAGCCCACACAGCACGGGGTCACGGCGGACAGCTAGGGCCAAGGAGTTGGAGCACTTTTGTTTACATTTAAGTAAACCCCACCGAATGGCTGATAGGCGCTCTGGGCTAAGAAGACAGAATCTGAGAGCTGCCTTTGGGAGGGCTTTGTCCCATGGGCGCTGCTTGCTTTCCCGAGATGCTGCACACAGATGGCACGCACAAGGCCACTTGCAGGGCACGCAAGGCTGGGGCCAGCTTGGCTCCCCTCGAGGGTGGCCATCGGGCTCCCAGGCACATGCATGTCCTGCTGTTTACAAGGACACGATGAAAATTGAGCCAAGCACATGCCGGCCAGATGTGGTCTTTGCAAACTGCGTGGTGGGCCGAGAACCCCAGAAAACCAGAGAGAGTTCCAAGATGCCACCCCAGGGAGGACCAGGTATCCTGGAGAAAATGAGGTGATTGAGGGTCGAGGTCAGCACAAAGGCGGG